TCTTTTTCTTTATACATATATCTAGATGTGTACGATCTATTCTGTTTGAATATCTAATGTAATATTACAATATGAAAGTCTATTGATGGTAAGGATAATAATAGTCGTAGTAATTCATGTTTTTTAAATTTAATAAATAAATATATCTGAAGCGTTCAAGCTCTCAGACTCATTGTCGGTAGTACAACAAAGTAAAACATAGAACTTTATAGCGCAAAACTCTAATTCTAATCTTATATTCAAGTCCTATGACTCACAGATATGTATATATAAGATTGTTAATTACAGAATTCATAAGCAAAAGAAACAATATTTATTTATTCATTATAATTGTAATTATATTAACATCATTTTTCTACCGATGATGAGTCGGAGGGTCCGAAAGCTCCAGATATATTTATTTATTAGCTTAAAAAAACATATGTATTACTATGATTATTATTATCGTTATCATCAATAGACTTTCATAATCATATCAATATTGTTACATATCATTGTCAAAGTCATACATATCGTAATATTGCAAAGAACTGCACATTACATTAGATACTCAAACAGAATAGATCGTATACATATAGATACAGTAAAACCTCTCTGTTGTGAACACCATTGGGACCGCTCAAAAGTGTTCACTACACGGATGTGTTCACTTTAGGGAGCTGAAGCATATTTTGCTGAGAATAGAAGAAAATGTCCCAGAAATCTGTTTCTACATTAGACTTAGCTAAAAGACTGCTTATTTATTCATTTTTTCATCTATTTTCATCGAAATGATATCGATTAAAAGATGTTTCAATTACAATACAAAACTTAGTTTTTTTTCAAAGTCTTCTAATGTTGTTTGTCTTTTTACTTTTGAGTCAATATAAATATCAGTTAATCTAAATTCAATTTCATTAATCAATGAATGCAATTGTGGTTGTTGTGTTGTTGCCAGCAAATGAAGTTTTCGTATCATTTCCATTGCTTCTGTTATTTTTGGTGGTGATTCTGTCGATTTACATTCATCTTCATCGTCATCACCATCATCATGTAGCTCGATAACATCACAAGCTATCAGATTTTCACAATTATCAAACCATTCATTAAATGCAGGTACATCTTTATCCATATCAATAAAATCACCTGCGCTCATTTTTTGACCTCCAATTGTGACATATTGTAACAAATGATCCAACTTTTTTGATTCTACAGATTGTTCATCATCTGTTACTGATGTTGTTGGATCATTAGATGATGGTGATGTTGCTGCTGTTATATTATCATCTGATTTGTCTTTAATTTTAATATCATCTAGTGTCTGAGCTGTTGCACAGGATTCTATTATATGCTTTACTAAATATTTTCTGTAATGAGTTTTGAACGTTTGAATTATGCCTTGATCTAATGGTTGAGGCTTTGCGGTAATATTTGGTGGAAAGTATTGTAATTTTACGTTTGAAAAAGTAATATCAACAGGATGGCATGGAGCATTATCAATGAAAAAAATGATTTTTCTTTTTTTTTTTCATTGATGCATTTAAATTTGATAACCATTCGGTAAACAAATTGACATTCATCCACGCTGACTTGTTCGTCGGTCAATCTATCGGAATTGACATTTAAGTCTTTAAAGCAACGTGGTCTTAAACTTCTACCTGTGAGGAAAATCAAAAGCAAAGTTATTAAGTATTCAAGCATGTAATAATATTTAGAAATATCTAAACAATAATTCTTACCGATTATTAAAGGCTTCAGTTTCTCTTCACCAGTTGCATTAACACCAAAAAAAAATAGTAAAACGATGTTTTGATTTTTTTATCACCTTTACAATCTTCTTTACTTAATGTTAATGATTTATTAGGCATAGCTTTATAAAACAGACCAGTTTCATCACAACTGAATATATTTTTTTGCATCATATCCATTAATTAATTTTGGTATTCGTTGAATCCAATGATAAACAGTGAGAACATCCAGAGATGAACTTTCACCACTAATAACATGATGTGAAATGTTATGTCTTCTCCTAAATTTTTGTGACCATCCGTTAGATGCTTTAAATGAACCAAATGTATCATCTAATGACTTAGCTATTTCTCGCGCCTTCTCCTGCAATATTGGACCAGAAATAGGTATTTTTTTGCACATTGCTGTGCAAACTATTCATAAACTT